TGTGTGGACCAAGGCACCTGCCTACCCTGTGTGGACCAAGGCACCTGCCTACCCTGTGTGGACCAAGGCACCTGCCTACCCTGTGTGGACCAAGGGTGCCCAGGCAGAGCTGTGAATGAGAAGGAGCCCTGTGCTTGGAGACAAGGTCCTGGGTTCTAGATCTGGTTCTGTTGTTACTTGTGGGCCTGATACTCTCTTTTCCTGGTCCTCAATTTCTCTTCTTATAAAAAGCAGTTGCGAGAGATGGTTGATAGTATCCTTTGATTTTGTGAATGGCCAGGATTGTTCTCTACCAGGAAGAGAAGAAAGGAGGAAAGGGGAGGAGACCACAGAGCATTGGCTTCAGACAGCCCCAGATGAAGCCATGAAGATGCATCTGGGTTTCACAAAGGGCCACGAGGGAAGCCAGACACAGGTCCTTTTGGCTGTGGCACATCGCCAGGGAATGCTCTTAATGTTCACCTCCCTCATTCTGGCAAATGCTGCCGCATACACTGTCAAGATAGCTTAAATGGACTTTTAAAAGCTTTTATTTACTTTAATAAAATCACTCTGTGTTCTTTTTAAAATGATCAGAAAACCCAGATAGGAAGAGAATGGCAAATCTAGACTCACATACTCTTTCAACTTCTTTAATTTTGCATCTCTAGCAACCAGCTCTAAAGAAAGTTTTAATTGACATAATTATACATATTTATGGAGGTACAGTGTGTTTTTTCCACACATGCATGCATCGTGTGACAATCAGATTAGGGTAGTTGGTACATCCATTGCCTCGAACATTTACCATTCCTTTGTGTAGCAAACATCCTAAATCCTCTACACTAGTTATTTTGAAATAAATAATTAATTGTCATTAACCTAGGAATCAGTTTTGAATATACATTCCCAACCTCTTTATGAATGTTACATACATCATGTAAACTCCACTAATATGCAAATTAAGAAAGGTAAGATTTAGGTGTGGGGAGATGACTCAGTATATAAAATGTTTGTTGCACAACCACAAAGACCTGAGTTCAGGTCCCCAGAACCCATATAAAAAGCCAGGAGTGGTATTGCATGCCTGTAACCCCAGTGCTGAGGCTAGGAGCAGAGACAGGTGTATCCTGCTGCCTTGCTTCCGGCCAGTCTAGCTAAACCAGGATCTCCAGGTGTGGTGAGAGATTCTGCTCAAATAAGTAAGGTGGACAACAATGGAGGAAGATGTCTCGTGTTGACCTCTGGCTTATACACACACATGTGCCTGCAGGAGAATGTGTGTATGTGTGTGTTGTGTGTGCTAAAATTAAAAAACAAATAATTTAACATCTCAGTTTCTAGTAACCTAGTAGGTATCTGGGTAGGTGAGCCCCTTTGGAGGCCGCTGGTCTGGGCTCATTCACATTTTGAGACTTTGGCTGTGAGTTGGGAGAAAGCTGATGACAGCCGGCGACTTCCCGCACGAGCCCTGTCCGGCTCCTATCAGGAACACCGGGCACGTCCTCGGTTGGATGAATGGAAGGATGAATGGGGTGACGGGGTGGGGGAAGATCACAGGACCAGCACGAGGAGAAGGGAGGAGGCTGACCGTGACACCACAGGCTGCAGAGCCTTGGCTGCTGGGCAGGGCGGCAAGTCCAGCGTCTCCCACTCGGCTCGTCTGCAGCGCCTAACGAAGCGGCTGCCAGGATTTTCACAGACCCAGGACCACGGAAAGTTGAGGATTAAAGCGGGTGTAGCCTATTGAGGGGGGATGATGCTCCGAAAATCAACTTGTGGTCCCTCCCCGCCCCCACCACCAAAAACCAATGGTGTGCTCCAAGCCTCACAACTAGAGTTTGTGGTTAGAATGCAAGGTCTCCATGAGATGGTGGGGGTGACGACAGGCACTGAAAGAGAAGTGTTTCAGAGATCCCATTTGTCTAGTGGGATCCCAAGAACTCAAAGCCCCCAAAAGCTGAGGTTATGATGGCTCTCATTTTCTGAGATGTGTTCATCCTTCCCTTAAATACCTGGTAACCCAGAGCACAGGAGACTTAAAATTTTTTCTTATGGTTTGGGTGACCTGAGGAGTTGGGGGAAGGGAGGGGAGGGTCTTTGAACCATATCATTGCAGGTACACAAAACGGGAGCAAACCTCTCTCTCATTATCACTGTGTGTGTGTGTGTGTGTGTGTGTGTGTGTGTGTGTGTGTGTGTGTGTATAAGCACATAGCCAATTTAGCTTACTACCTGCCATTCGTGACTTCAAAAAATATAAATTCCTTTGCCTTTCTTTTGTGCTATTGTCCTCGCTCCCTTCAAACCTCCGATCCATCCTGATTCTAGCCCTCTTCCCACTCTCCTCAATCCCTGGAGGAGGTACCCTTCCTCAAGTCCCTCCAGCATCGACACTCTGGACCACACGGGTAGGACTGATCACACCCAGCCCTGTATCATCCCATTATCTCGAATTGCTTCCTGTCTGTCTGTGCTGTGTGCCTGCTACTCATTTACCAGCACCACAGACCTTAAGGGGAGCCAGCACCAGCCCTAGGACGGGCTGCCCTGGGCTGTGCTTGCTTACTGCACAGGGTCTTGTTCCTGCAACTCCGAGATAATGATTTTTTGCCTTCCAGGGTTGTTGCTGGAGATAATGGGTGCGAAGCGCGTAAATCATTGCACAAAGTAAAGTGCTGTTATTAGCACCTCTGCTGAATCTATAGAGCCCCATGCCTCCTTTGCCTGGCGGGGTGTAGCTGATAAATACCTGATTGATTGAAGATGGAATTGCTTGGTGACAGCTCCGTTCTCAGGCTCCACTAACGTCTAATCCTGCAATTACTCCCTTCACTGGCAATGCAGAACCTGCTGAGTTTTCTGCAGCCCTAAGTGCCCTCAGACTTCAGCTGATAAGGCAGGGCTGCTGCACCTGGAGAAGACGACCCTCAGCTGCACAGAGCACCTTCCACGGACAGCGCGGGGTGTCACCTGGAAAAAGTGCGGCTGTTCCTTTTACTCAGGTGACGTCTGGGGGCAGTTGCCCCTGCAGAAGACTCAGCAAGCCCAAGGAAAGCGAATCCTTTCTGTTAAGGTATCATGGCACTGATGGAAGCTTGTGGAATATTTCCCTGCTAGGCTGCATAAATGAGAAAAAGGAGGGTGTGCGCGCGCGGCATCCACCCACAGGCAGCGAGGAACCACAGCATTCTCTTTGGGAGGTTTGGATACGAAGCCAGGCAGCTACTTTTCTCTCCCTGTGATGAAAACTCTCGTTTGGGCTTGCTGGCAAATGCCGTGTGGAGCTCAGCTTTTGTTAGTCTGCTGAACAATGTTATTGGTTATAATTGGGGCAATTATGAGCTGCTGGAGGAAGCTAAACACAGATGTTTAAGCCCAGGCTTGGGGTATTCAAGTCCAAAGCAGCATGCTTTAAATAGCCCCCTTTCCGAATCATCCTGCCTTACTTGAAATTCCCCTCTGAACTTGCCCGTGTTCAAAGGGAGCTGGGGGAGAGGAGAGGCTGGGGAGAGAAGGGAGGGGGAGAGACTCACAAAGAGAGGAGGAGGAGAAAGAGAAGGCTGAGAGAGGGCAGAGAGAGTTCAGATGCTCTGACGTGTGAGAGAGTTCCATGCGACCTGGGCAGAGAGACCTCCGGGTGGGCAGTGGAGAGAAAGACGTCAAGAAAGAAAGGACACCTCGAGACACCCCAGGATCCGGAGGACCAAGGTCATGCCTTCAGAAACGCCCGTGAAATCCACCCAGCCAGCGACTGACTGCGTTCAGCCATGCACACAGGTGAAGCTCAAACCTCGAGTCTGTCTTTTCCCCCGTATTGTTAGCAATTTCCGTGAAGGTGTAAGAGAACTCAGACCAGAATGACATCAGATTCAATGATACAAGAGCAGCAGCTTGCACAAAGGGCAGGAAGCCACAGATCGAAAAAATCCCCGTAAGGTGTGCCAGGGGCTTCCTAGGGCTTCTCTGAACGGCAAGCCCCTTCCCGGGGTCTGCCCTCTCTCCTGCAGCCACCTCTTTCGTGTGTATCTGTCACCCAGTAAGGGCCACAACTGGGAAAGCAAAACTTTTCCTCATTTCCAAGTTCAGCTTTCCTTCGCGTTTCTCTTTGAGATTAGCCAGCCCTCGGCCCTCCCCCTTCTCTGCCATCGGAACACCGAGAATAAGATGAATGAAACCATAATCTCGCAAGAGGCCGGCAAGCAGCCACAGTGGACAAAAGACAGAGCTGGAGGAGCCGGCCAGGCTGCCCTGTTTTCCCGAGAGGCTCCGGACAGATAGTGCCGGCCGGCTGGTGCCGGGGCCACATGCATTGCCTACCTGACGCTGTCTGTCACAGGGTTCTCTCAGATGTGAGGCTTGTTCCTCTGTGTCAGCCACACCAGCCTATATATCCTCTCCCCACGCACAGCCCTCCCCTTCCCTGCCTACCTCGACGATGACACATGCCTACGCTGACCCCCTTCATCAACCAAACAACCCAACTACAGTCCTGCCTGGCCGGCCCCCTCCCCTGCTCTGCATCCAGACTGGTGACATGCCAACCTCCCCATCCATCCAGCCTCTAGCCTGCTTCACCTGGACTCCGGATCAGCCAGGATCCCTCAGCTGCCTCTCCCGTTGCTGTCAGAGCCACTGTGAGGATGGCCAGCCGGGGAGAGCTGGCAAGTCACTCAGAAAAGCAGACTCCCGGTGACAAGGGATGAGGCAGACCCCAAATCCTGGAGTCTTCTTTCGTCACCTCTCTGCCTGAGGAGTGAGGCTCAGGCAGCGTGGGGTAGGGGGAGCTCATGCCCACCTCCCACTGGCTCAGAGAAGGGCTGAGCCAAACCCCCTCCTAACGTCCTGGCCCCACTGGGCTGGCAAGCTCGAGGCCACACCAGGGTGATTCTGGAGGCATTTTTCCACAGGTGCCCACAGCATGACACAGTACACATCACAGAGCACAAGCTCCGTTTTCTCCCTCAGAGCAGGGGCGTCTCCTGTGAGCCTCAGGTTCCCTTCTGTAGAATGGGAGCACCGACTTGCAAGACGGGAGTAGAGTGATGAGATTCTGTTTGCAATCTGGGGGCATGCAGGCCTTTAGTAAATGCTAGTGCCCTGTTCTTGCCCGTCTCACTGTCTTTTCACGCTAATGGGTACGACCTGAAGTCTGACATCAGCGTCCAGGGGCTTTCCAAGCTCCTGCTGCACCTTAGGGTATGGGAGGCTGCTGAAGACACCCTAGCCCTTGATGCAGAGCCCCGTTTTTTTTCTCTTAGCTCAGGCAGGAGCAGCCTGCAGACAGGTGGCTCGCAGGCAGCTCAGAGTCTACCCTAACCCCATGGATTCCCGTTCCTTGCCCCGGGAGGACTGCCCCGAGACCCTGTTCATCATTTTCCTAAGAAGATTTAAAATATCCTAGGATGCAAGACTTCCATCAGCCAGTGAGAGCAAGCACCCTCTCAAGTGGCAAGTCTAGCTCTTGGTGGACTGGGGGCTTGGCAGACGAGAGTTGAGGGAAGCGCCTACCCTGACCATTCATGGGCACAGAATTTCTTTTAAGTGTGATGGAAACGTGCTTTAGAATGGTTGAATTTTGTCCTATTGAAATTATATCTGAACAAAAAGCAAACGGCCATTACTTGCCCAGGTTAAGACAAGTCCTGAGAATAAAATTCCCACTCATGCATGTTCCCAGTGAAAAAAGGTCCAGGGAACCAGCATGCCCACTCGGCACCGAGATCTCCGAAGTCCACTTGCTCGCCACGGGTCAAAGCAGCCAGTACAAACTCTTTGGGAAATCAGCATGCCCTCCGTATGACATAGGGCATAGGGGGGGCAGTTTTGCATGGTGCTGTACCTTGGGGTCCTGGATATGCAGCCTCATCTCGTATGTGCTGTGGCAGATGTTGCTGGATGCCTGCCCAATATGTTCCCATCCCCTTGTTATTCCTTATTGAGCAGGGGCTTTGATTTTATTCAAAGTGACAGCCTGCTAGGTGAAAACCCTGCATTTTCCTGGCTTTGGGTGCAGCTGAGATAGCAGGTTAAAGTCAAAGCACTGGTTTTTAGGTGGAATTTTGAGGAAGTTCTTTTTAAGTCTCTCTCTCTCCCCTGTTCCTCCTTTCCTGGAACACAAATCCAATCGCTGGAGCGTTAGCCGCCGTCCTGGATCTTGAGGTAACTTGGGAGTTGAAAGCTGCCTGGCTACTTTTCTTGTTGCTGGGAAACAAATACCCAACAAAAACAAGCCAAGGGGGAAGGGTATATTTTGGCTCACAGTTTGAGGGTACAGTCTTCCATGTGGGAGGAAGCAATTGGGTGGAGTCTGATGCAGCTGGTCATATTGCAGCCACAGTCAGCAAGCAGGGAGCAGTGCATGCTGGTACTCAGCTCAGGTTCTCCTTTTGGTTCAGTCTGAGATCCCAGCCAAAGGAATGTTGTTACCCACACTTGGGATGGGTCTTTTTTTTTTGGCCTCAGTTCACCTAGTTGGGAAACACTCACAGACATACCCAGAGGTTTGTTTCTATGGTGACTTCAAAGTCCATTAAGTTGACAATCAATATTATCTATCCATCACAAAATTCATAGGCTAAAGGCGATTCAACGTAATATAGAAAGTTCTGGGTTCCCCATAACCATGAACCTGCCGTCACGATCCTAGACTTCCAAACATCAGACTGCTGTTTTTTTTGTTTTTTGTTTTTTTTTTTTTTGAAAGGAAAAAACCCCTGAAACCTTCATTTCCAATGTCACCCAGAGTTCAGTTATACGTTGCTGTGTTACGTTTAATGCCAAGGGTGGAGGCTTAACACAACAGAACCCTTGCTTGTCTCACAATTCTGCAGACTAGGGATTCAGGCTTGGCTCAGCAGGGAAGTTCTTCCGGTCTCAGCGTGGCGCTCTCAGCTGCAAGGCGGCGGCGGTGGCGTTCAGAGATTGTCTCAGTTTTCCTGCTGAATTCTTTCTTTACTGTACCCTCCATCGGCCCGGCACACACCATCTCACAGCCAGACTGAAATGCCATTGTAAACAAAACCAACCAGATAAGGGCGGCCTCACTGAGGAGCTGGCATTCCATGGATTTTGCCATATGTCTTGGCTGTCCAGGACGGGGTAGGCTGGACACTACAGTCACAAGACACAAAGAGGACAGCTGTATAGAGCCAGCCAACACTTTTGTTTAAGCCATTGATTTGGATTTCATGTTATACCCAGGGGAAAGTCTTGAATAACATACCTGCCATTCATTCTTAGAATGTTGAGAGATGCTGGTGGTCGGTGGTGGCGCACGCCTTTAATCCCAGCAGAAGCAGAAGCAGGTGCATCTCTGAGTTCGAGGCTAGCCTGGTCTACAAAGTGAGTTAGTTCCAAGACAGCCAGAGGCTACACAGAGAAACTCTGTCTCAGAAAACCAAAGCAAACCAAACAAAAAAGAATGTTGTGAGCTCTAAATACTTTCCTACCCCATAGCCAAGGAAAGAAAAAGAGAGAGTGGAGAGTCACCACCTCTGACGCTTTCTTTTTAGTTTATCACATGGGAGAGGTGGAGCCAGGGCCTGGAGGTTCTCTGGGAGTCAATGAAGATGCGCATCACATCAGGCTATTTCTAAGACAGAGCTGAGGGAGAGAGTGAGCCCGGGGAGGGAACACGCCCCTCAGAAAGCAGAGTACGTGTTTGTCACTCCACGATGGCTTCCTCCTGTGTTCCTGGTAACAGACTCATCACGCTGTGAGGTCCTTGTCTTTCCTGTTGCACAAACAGGGTGACTGGTTAGAGAGTCACAAGCCGTCCTTTGTTTTCCTGACTGAACAGACGCCCTGGGAGGATCACTCAGTAAAGTGCTTACCTTGTAAGCATGATGACTTGGATTTGACACCCCAGAACCTATATTTAAAAAGAAAAAAAAGCTAGGCATGGTGGTGTACACTTATAATCCCAGCCTTGGGGAGTAGAGTCAGGTAGATCCTGGGTCTGGTCAGCCAGTCAGCTTGGCCTACTTGGCAAGCACCAATACCAGGCCAATGAGAGACTGTGTCTCAAAAACAAGGTGGTCGGCAACTGAGGGTTGATATCGTGGTTGTCCTTTCTTCTACACATGTCTGTGCACACACATTCATATTCTAGTTTTGAGTC